ATCTATTTGGATATAACTTATTAAATTACATCATCTATTAATGCTTCAGATTTTACAACACCTATTCCATCATATTCGAATGTACATTACTCTTAACCATTTTATTTAGGAAATTCAGGGTATTCAATTGCACTATAACAAGCGTTTTCTAAGAAATCGCAACCTTTTCCCCAGAATATATTATCTGCCATATTCTCATTTACTTCAGGGTAAAAGCCTGTGTCTTTCAAAAGAGCAATCATAAATATAGAAAGAACACTATTATATACTTCAGTTCCAACCATAATTTCATTATAAATAACAGTTTTTTCCCAATGAGAACTAATTGTATATGAACCACCCTAGTTTATATATATTTTTTTTAATATTTAAATATATACTTCATTTTCAAGTTGCATACCTTCAGCTGAAGGACAATTATAATATTTTATAGTTACTTCTACTACATTTTTGGAAATTAAAATAGATGTTTATTTTCCTCTAATAATATTTGTTTTTAACAATTTATCTTTAAAGTTAGCTCTATAAGATTTTCCAGTATCAGGATCTATCCAATAAAACATTGCGTAATCTGAGAAATCGAGTATATGTAAAATTTCATGAATAGTTATTTTCAAATCACTCTGAAATTTTGCAAAATCTCCACCACCTAATGCTTTCATCTTTGCTAAGTTAAATTAAATTATTCCGAAAATAGGTCTAACATTTATTCCAATAGAAATTACACAATAAGTGGAACCTGTAATATTTTAATTTTTTAATTAATATAAATAACATAACTGTGTAAATCGCAATTAGGAACTCCTATTGTTTAATCATTTGTCGGAATTTAAAAGCCTATACATTTACTAGAAAAATTTTTAGGGTAAATGTTATTTTATGTTAATGGGTACACTTTCAAAAGTCTTTAGAAATAAAGTTTGGATGTTTCCATAATATCTATTAAGTAATTTTTTTATTAATCTGTTATACCTTAATCTACTTAATTTAGCTAGGTATAATCAATAGTTATTCTTATAGGTTTTACTGTATTATCTGTTTAAAGAATGCGTTAATCATGGTTTATTTTTTCAATATTTTGATAAGTTTCTTGCATTTTTTCATAGTGATCTTGAATTAATTTACTTTCATGACCACATTTATGGCGTGAATAAATCAATTTAACTAATATTAAAATACTAATTAAAATTAGTTTTTTAAACATTATTTTTTATTTATTTTTATATTACTTTGAAGAAGTAATATATATACTTAATTTTTATTTATTAGTTTAATATTCTTTTTTTAAAAAAATTTTATAATCATTAAATTTAAAAAGATATTTTTTTCTGATTTTTTAAGATTATTAATATATTTTTTATATTATTTAATTTGACTTTTTATTTTAATTATAGCTAATTTAATTTTTAATGAATCTAATATTTTGTAAAATTATTTATAAATAAAAATTATTTAAAACACTTTTTTTATTAATTGATTTTGAATTTATTATTAAAATTTTCATTTTTTTTTAAAAAAAAATGTTATTTTATGTTTTGAAATTCTTAAAACATATAAATATATATAAAATAAATATAGAAAAATAATATATTTTTATTTATCGCAAATAAAAAATAAAATTGATAATAAATATGTAATATTATATAATATATTAATAGATTTTTTTTTAATAATTTTAATTATATTATTAAATTTTTATATATAAAATAAATTAAATTTATATTTTTTTGAATTTTTATAATTTAAATTTTTATATAAAAGTTATTAAAAAAGCAAAACAAAAACATTATATGAATTATTTTTATAGGATATGGATAAAATTAATTTATTTAATATATTTAAACTATAATTTATTTATAAATAAATTAAATTATTTAATTTTTTATAAAAGATTTTTTTTTTAATTATAAAAATAAATTTAGTTATATTATAAATATCTTTAACAAATAAAAATATGAAAAAAAAAAATTAGTAAAAAAATAAAGATTTAAATTTATATTATTTAATAAAATAAGATTTCAAGATTAAATGTATAAATAATTTTGTTTTTTATAAATTAAATTTTAACATAATTATAATTTTTATATTTTTAAAAAAATAAATATTAATGTATTATATTAATTTAAAAAATAAAAAATATATAAGAGAAAATAAATATTTTATTAGTTTTTTCTATTTATAAATAAATTAATTAAATATATGATAAAAAATTAAATAATTAAAAAATAAAAAAATCTAATATTAAAAATTTTAATATGTAATAGAAAAAATAAAATAGAAATAAATATAAAAGGCATAATTATATAAAAATTTCAAATATATTTATATAAAAAAAAAATTATTTAAATATTATTATATATAAAATATTATGATATTAAAAAATAAAATATATTATTTTTATATAAAATTTAAATGATTAATTTCATATAAACAATAAATATTATTATTAATATATATATAATTATTATAATAAATATTATTATTATTATTATAATTAATATATATTTAAATATATAATTTTATATTTTCTACTTTTTAAAATATTTTTATTGTAATATTTTTTTATTTTAAATTTTATTTATCTAAATAATTTTTATTTTTTTTATTTATACTTTTTTTTTTTAATATAAATTTTTTTCGAATTTTTTTTTTTTTATATTCATATAAATATTTAATAATGTATTATGAAATAAAATAAAACTTATAAAATTATTTCCATTTCTTTATATCTTACTTAAAATTCTCATTTTGTTACTCTTGTCTTTGCTAGATTACTATATTTTATAATTATTGCATATATTTTGTAATTTGATTATATTTTTTTTTATATGTATTTTTATTTAAAGAATTAAATTAATAACAAATTTTTATGTATGAATAATTTCTTAAAAAAAAATACTACATTATTTTTTTTTTAATATATTAATTTTATAAATAATTTAGAAATTATATTAATTGAATAACACAAAATAAAAATTATAATTTTTTATAACTAAATGAAGTAAATATTTTTTATATTTATTTAATGTGTTTATTTCTAAAAGATTATCCAAATAATTTTATATAATAATGATTAGTAAATTTATATTTCTGTTTTCCTATAAAGTTTGTTTTATTTAAACAATGATTAAGCTTAAATAAATAATTTATGTATTGTTTTATTCGTATATATTCATATATATATATTAAAGTAAAAGTCTTAAATATTATTTTGTTATATAAATTCGGATATTTTGGTTGCAATGTATTTTTTTATTCATATTAACTAGAATGAAGGAAATATTTCTAAATTAAAAAAATAATTATGAAGTTTATTTTGAAAAATTAAAATTTTAAGTTAAGGCTTAAAAGAATAATAAATATTAAAAAATAATTAAGATAAGTCAGAAATATATAAAAAATTTGAATTTAGAAGAAGAATAAGAAGCACATTAAATATCAAAAAAATTAAGTACTTGAACCCGAAAAATCCTTGAAGTTTTATTATCCAAATAAATTTTATCAATTTCTAAACATAGAAATTCTAAACAATTAATATTTTAAGTAAAAAATATTTATTTTATAAATTATTATCATTTAATAATATATTATTTATTTTTTATATAAATATGTTTTTAATAAATAATAATAATTAAAATATTATAAAATAAATTGCATAAGAAATTTTAAAAAAAAAATTTCATATAAAAATTTGTTGTAAGAAAATTTACATTTGAACATATTTTAGAAATAAAAATATTAAAAAGAATAAATAATGAATCTTTTATTTAAATTAAATAATTATGAATATTAAAGATTTAATTAAAATAAGTATGTTTTTTTTATAATATAATAGATATCGATATACTAAATCTAGAAATCAAAATAAAATTATAAATATAATTGATTATAAAATTATATAAATAAAATTTAAATTTGAATTAAAAATATATAAAAAAAAAGTTAATTTAATATCATTTTATTTTTAAAAATATTAAATTTTAACAATTTATATGGTTTTTGTGAAGAAATAATTTACTGTTTATTATATTCTAATTTATTTATTTAGAATTGAAATATATATTTAAAGGTTTATAATTTTATTTACAAATTAGATCGAATATATTTTTTCTATAGATTTATTAATTAATAATCTTTATATTATTTATTAATATTTTGTGTAAATATCTTAACTTTTTTAATTATTAAATTAATTCTTTTAATTTTTATTTTTAATTTAGCTATTTTTGTTAATTGTATTTATATGAAATTTTATTTTGATTATAATAAAGATTTTCAGTTTTCTATTTATTTTTATTTTATGTTTAAATATATAATTTAAAGGCTTCTATAATATTATACGCTAGTTTACATTATGAAAACTTAACGAATCTTCTTATATTATTAAATTAAAAAGATAATATTTTATTATTAAATAAATTTTAGTAATTACAAATTTTCTTTTTTTTTTAATTCTTAAATATTTAAGAATACGTTTTTTATTTTATTATATATACATCCATAATTGAAAAATATTCTATAATTTATTTGTTTATTAAATACTTTTTGTTAAAGGTTATTATAAATTAATGTTGTTAATTAACTAATAAAATATAACATTATTAATAAATAATTAGTAAAAAAAAATTTTTTGTATTTTCATACGACTTTAGATTTATTATATCAATTGTTTTCTAAAACAAAAAAATTTATCGAATGTTTATAATTTAGTAAAAACTTTATGTAAAATGAAAATATATATATCTTAATTATGTATGTAAATAAATTTATAATAGAGGACAATAGTTTTTGAATAAAAATAATATTTTTATGAATAATACTAATAAAAAATATATGTAAATTTGAAAAATAATTTTTATATTCTAATTAATTATTCAACAAAAAAACTTATGAATTATTAATAATATAGAACATTATCATAAAAATATATTTCATAATTTTTATATTATTTAAAATAAATATATTTTATATATATATATATATATATATATATATATATATAAATTTAAAGTATCATATAAAAATAAAAGTTTTTTAAAAATTAAAATAAAATTAGTAAATAATAATAAAATATATCATAAGTCAAATAAATATAAATAAATTAAGTAAATAAATTTAATACAAATTATATATATTAAAAAAAATATAAAATTAATTCATATATAAGAAATATTTAAATATTAAAAATATTTATAAATATATTTATGTGTAATAATATTTATATAAGGTTATATTTATAATTTATATATTAATATATATATAAAATTGTATTTATTAATATTTATGTTTTATTATATATATATATATTTATATATTTATATATTTATATATTTATATTTTTATAAGTTTATATATTTATATATTTATTTATATTCTATTTTTAATATTTTTGTTTTTATTTAATATTTTTTTTTTTCTCATATACAATTAAAATTTTTATTCAATATTTTGTCTTATTCTGATTTTATCATATAATATAATATTTAATTTTTTTTTTTTTATTTTTTTACTATTTATTATTATATATATTATAATAAATCTGATATTTCATTTTTTATTATATTCTAATAGCTATTTTTAAATTTTTATCTTTTTTTTTTATAGTTGATAATTATTTAAAATTTATTTTTATAGAAATTTCAAATAATATTTTTGCTTTTCAATTATTTAATATTTTTATGTCAATTAAAAGATTTGATTAAATTAATTCTATTTATTATTATTTTTATTATTCGCAATAATTTTGATATTAAATATTTTATTATTAATGTGATTATATAGTTTTCTTTATTTGTATTTAGATATATTTTTATTTTCACCTTTATTTTTTTATATGAATATTAGTAATATTTTTTTTTTGTGTTTAATATTTTAATTTTATTTGATATTATTCTCGATAATATTTCTTTTTTAGTTTTTAACTATATTTTTATATTTTTCATTTTTAATTGCTTAATTAATTATTTAGTTCATCTATTTTATTAATATTTACTTATTTTTAGTTTAAATAATTTTTAAATATTAATATATTATTTTTTATTTTTAGAATAATATAAGTATTTTTTCTATCCAAATTTTATTTATGTATTTCGAATAAGTTTTATTCAGTATATTATTATTATTTTTAAAATTAATTTATTTATTTATTTTTTATTTTATTAAATCAAATGTTTGAATTTTTATTTTTTTATTGTTCTTAAGTTTTTATATTAATTCTTTAATTTTTTTATTATTTATAATTTAAAATTAATTATTTATGAATTTTATATTAAGTTATAACTAAAAATATAATTGGATGGATAATTTGACTTTATTTTTGTTATGTTATATATTTATTAATTTTATTTAAGTTCTAAATTTGTATAAAATATTTAGATTTTTTTTACTTAAAATAAAAAAATGTATTCTTTTTATTTTTTTAATTATTTATTTAAACAATTCTTCTATATTTTATATATATTATATATAATATTTAATTTTTTTAAGAGATATATATAAATTTTAATATATTTAATGCATTTTAAATAGTCTTTAGTTTTTTAACATTAAATCTAATTCAAATAATATAAAACTATAATTATAGTTAATTAAAAAAATAAAATTAAGAATAAATTATATAAATTAAAAAAAAAAAAATATTAAATTAAGAAAATAAAAATATTTATTATTTATAAGTATAAATATTTATATTTAATATTATAAAATATATTTAATTTTTTTATTAATTAAATTTTGTTTTATATAAATTTAATATATTAATAAATATTAAAATAATTAAATATTTATAATTTATTTTTAATATATATAGTTTATTAAATATGTGCCTTTATATTTTATTTTAAATTGATATATGATAAATATATTATTTTAAATTTTTAAATAAAATATTTATAATTTTGATTGAAAATATTATTTTATAATATTAATGTATTAATATTTTAAAATAATAGGTATTTTGAATAATTTTATATTATTAAATTATAATTTTTTTAATTTTATTGGATATATAAATAATTAATTTTTAAATTTTATTATTTTTGAATTAAAAATTACATTTAATAAAAATGTTTTTTAATATCTATTTTCATTAATTATCGCCTTAAACCTAATTTAAAAATCTAGATGATGGGATTAATTCGCATTATTTTAAAGTATTATTTAAAGAATATCCAGTAATACATTTTGTGCATTAAATCGAATCACATTATATGCAATTACTAAATTTACTACTGCATTCGTAACAAAGGTTATATTTATAATTATATATATATATAAAATCTTAATAAAAACCATCCATACATTTTAAGCACATACCATTTTAGCTACATAAAGTACATCCTTAATTGCAATCAGTAGCATCTTTATTAACTTCAATGCATTAATCTTCGTATTCATAATATTCATATCCATGAAAACATTTTAAGCAAATACTTGGTGTACAAGAACTACATTTACTGAATTTAATAGTACAACTAAGGCATTTTATAGTTTAAATAGTTGGATTATCCACTGAATAATCATAAAAACCGTCTTAACATTTTAAGCATTTTTTAAATTAAGAAAGTTTCTCACATCCCTGAGTGTATTCTATTTCAGTACTTTCACCTCCTTCTTAAGTAAACGGTACACATTATTTTTTAGTTTAATTTAATTAATATCCATTCATACATTTAACACATTAATGATAATCACAGGATTGACAATTTGGATATTTATAAACGCAATATAAACAAGTTTTATTCTCATAATATAGATAATAACCATCATAGCATTCACTGCAACCAATATAATTACATTTTTTACAATTTTGAGTACATTCTAAGCATTTTTTTCTATGATCAGAATAGTAGCTTGCAGAAGGGCATTCATCTACACAACTACCATCAATACTTACTAATTTACTTCCCTCACAAACAAAACATTAAGTTAATTTATTAGGATTACATAAGGAGCAATCTAACTAACACAAAGTGCATTTCTCGTCTAAACCTAATCTAAATCCATTATTAGTATCACATTGAGAACAGGTGATAGGATTATCTTATTAAAGACATCCTAAGGAATTCTTCTCACAAAATTAATTTTCTTAGTTTGCGAAATATCCAAAAGGACATTAACTTAAACACTCCTTATTATTATCATAATAAAAATAACTTTCTTTACAAGTAATGCAATAATGCTAATTATTTTTTTAACAAATTTTGCAATTTCCTTAACATTTATTAGACCAAAGATATTCGCAAATACCTAAATTTTAATTATAAAAATATCCTTATTTCTCATTGCATTTATCTACACACTAGTTTTCTTACAATAATGTCATAAACTAACATTTAGAACACTCATTAGCTGATGGTCCTGTGCATCTAGAACAATTGCTATCACAAACTTAACATTTTTTAGCACTTCCAAAATAACCTAAAGGACAATCTGATTTGCAAGTATTATCTGGATTCAAGAATTTACCTATAGGACATGTGCCTTCTACACAACTATGATTATCGACTACCCCAGAGCATTTTATGGAACAATCAACTCCTCCGAATCCAGCTTAGCAGATACATTGACCCTTTACACAAACTCCTTTTTCAGAACAAAAATTTGGACATATAGGAGTATAATTACAGAATCTCTCATAATCTTAAGGACATGTGATTTAACCATATGCTTTTTGGCCACTTGGATCGACATCCTTTTTCATATTTTATTCCCCTTTTCTACATATAACTGTTAAATTAATTTCAGGGAAAACAACAGATATTTCAGAAGCATCAGAGGAACACTTGTATTAGTGACATCTGAATTTATCATAATACCATGAAGATTATGACTTTGTAGCTGTAGATTAGAAACATTTACTTTGAGTTGAATAATTAGATAATTTATTCTGTTCATCTTGTTTATCTTCTTATTCAGTTACACTATTAGGATTTGTACACTATCTATTTAGATATAATCTTATTAAATTACATCCATCTACTAATGATTCAGATTCGTTATTACCTATTCCCTCATATTAGAATGTACATTACTTTTAAACGTTTAATTTAGGAAATTCAGGATATTCAATTGCACTTTAGCAAGCGTTTTCTAAGAAATCGCAACCTTTTCCTTTTCCCCAGAATATATTATCTGCCATATTCTCGTTTACTTCAGGGTAAAAGCCTGTGTCTTTCAAAAGAGCAATTGTAAATATAGAAAGAACACTATTAGATACTACTTCAGATCCAACCATAATTTCATTAAAAATAACAGTTTTTTCCCAATGAGAACTAATTGTACCTGAATTACCCTAGTTTATATGTATTTTTTTTAATATTTAAATATATACTTATATATACTTAATTTTCAAGTTACATTCCTTCAGCTGTAGGACAATTATAATATTTTCTAGTTACTTCTACTATATTTTTAGAAATTAAAATAGATGTTTATTTTCCTCTGTAAATTTTTTTTTTTAACAATTTATCTTTAAAGTTAGCTCCATAAGATTTTCCAGTATCAGGATCAATCCAATATTACATTACTCTAACTGAGAAACCGAGTAAATGTAAAATTTCATGAATAGTTATTTTCAAATGATTCTCAAATGTTGCCAGATCTCCTCCAAATTTTTTCATGTTTGATAAGTTAAATTAAACTATTCCGAAAATAGGTCTAGTGATTATATCACTCGATATTGAACAATAAGTGGCACCAGCAATAACAATATTATTTTTATTAACATAAATTACATATATATGTAAATCTGAATTAGGAACTCCTACTGTTTAATCTTTTATCGGAATTTAAAGACCTAAACATTTACTAAAAATATTTTTATTGAAAATGTTATTTTATGTTAATGGGTACACTTTCAAAAGTCTTTAAAAATAAAGCTTGGATGTCTCCATAAGATCCATTATATATATTTTTTATTAATCTGTTATACCTTAACCTAACTAGGTATAATCAATAGTTATTCTTATAGGTTTTGCTTTAGTTCCTGTTTAAAGAATGCGTTAATCATGGTTTAATTTTTCAATCTTTTGATAAGTTTCGTGCATTTTTCATAGTGATTTTGAAATTCTATACTTTCATGACCACATTTACAGTTTGAATAAATCAATTTAACTAATATTAAAATACTAATTAAGATTAGTTTTTTAAACATTATTATTTTTTATAATATTTTAAGTAATTTATTTTATATATTTAATTTTTATTTATTGGCTTAATCTCTTCTTTTTATTTAAATATAAAAATTAAAATTAATAAATATGTTTTTGGTTTTTATAGATTAAAAATTTAATTTTATATTACATAATTTGACCTTTTTTTTTTAATTATAATTTATTGCATTTTGAAAAAATCTAATATTTAGTAAAAATTAATTTTAAATAAAATTATCTATTATATATTTTTAATTTGTAAATGTTAATATATTTATATATAAATTTTCATTATTTATTATTAATATTTTTATTTTTATGGTTTGAAATTCTTTAATATAAATAATATAAAAAGTATTTAAACATATATTATAAATAAAATATATATAAAAAAACAAATGTATTAAATTAAATAAAAAATAATTATATATATGATATATATTACATTATTTTAAAAAAATAAAATATATATTTTAAATATATTTTTAAATATATAAAATGAATAAAAAAAATTATATTTATAATTAAAAAATTTAATTTTTTAAAATATAAAAAAATTTTATAGATGTATTATATTCTAACAATATATTTTATAAATGAATTAATTTTTATTTATAAAAAAATAGTTTTATATAAATATCAATCTTATAAAAATAAAAAAACATATTTATTTGTATGAATAAAACTATATTTTATTATATAATTATTAATTATTAAATTAATTTATAATAATATATCAAATTTATGTAAAATAATTTTTTTATTACTATATTTTAAATTTAAAGAGTTTTTTATATTAATAAAATTAAAAGAATAATAAATTATTTATTAAATTTAAATCTTTTAATCTTTTAAAAATAATATATTAAAAATAAAATTAAAAAAAAAAAAAATATTTTTTATAAATAGAATAAAAAATAAAATATATATTAATTTATATATTTAAAGATAAAAATAATAAAAAAATAAAAAAATTTAATATAAAAAAAATATATATAAAAAAAAAAAAAATTTATATATATATATATATATATATATATATATATATATATATTTATAAATATTTTTTTTATTTTACTCTATTATTATATTTATATAAAATTTTTATAAACATACATACTTTATTTTAATTATACTTTATTTAATTTATTTTTCTCAATATTTTTTAAAAATAAATGTCTATTAAACAGATCTTTAAAATTAATTAATACTTAATATCTATTTTTTTTATTTAATTCTATATATTTAATCAAATTTTTCTAATTTATAATACTTTGTATTATAAATTTATGTTTTTAATATTTTTTTTTTATTCTAATAAACTAATTGCTATTTAGAATGAATTATATAGATTAATATTTATATAAAACTTTTATAAAAGTTATATATTAATTATAAGATAATTAAATAGAAAAAGATTTGTTTAAAAATATTTAAAATATAATAGAATTATATTGAATTTATTTTATTTATAAAAAAATCTAATTATTTTTATATTTATATAGAACTTAAATAAAAATAATAAATATTAATCATAATAAAATATTATAATTTAATAACCATACAATTATATGCTATAACCATATAATTATATGCTAATTTTTAATAACCATAGAATTATATGCTTTTAGTAAAATAATTGATTATGAATTATTTTAATAATAAAATATATAATAAATAATATAAAAATTTAATATAATTTGTAAATAATAACAATATATCAATATTAATGTATTTCTAAATTGAAATTAAAAATTTAGACTTTTTAACTTAATAAATATAAAAAAATTAATAAATAATTTAAAAAAATAATAATAATACATCAAAAACAACTTATTCTAAATACATAAATACAATAATGATAGAAAATTATATAGATAATTCTAAAAATAATAAGTAATAAATTAATATTTAAAACTTATTTAACTTCAAAAATAAGTAAATATTACTAAAAAAATAACACAAATATTTAATAAAATATTAAGACAAAAAATTTAAAAAATATAATTAATATATAAAATATTATATATGATTAAAAATATTTTTAGTATATTAGTAAAAATATTTAACACACCAACAAAAAAATCATTACTAATATTCATATAAAAAATAATGATAAAAGTAAGAATATATTTAAACACAATTAATACACTCTCTTTCGATCAAATTAATTATAAAATATGTAATATTAAAATTATTGCAAACAATAAAAGGTAAAAAAATATTAACTAAATTATAATAAACATTTTTAAGTGTCCTAAAAAAATAATAATATTGTGGTAAGCAAAAGAATATTATTTTTGAAAAATCTAAGTTATTCTAAATTTTAGATATATATAGACTAATAAAAATATTACTTTGTTTTAAGAAAATTATAGAATTCTCAATATAAAAATAAATAAAAATTGTAACACAATAAAAAAAAATATATTCTAAAAAAATTAGCTAGATATAATAATATAATAAAATTTATAGAAAAAGAAAACAATATTATAAGAATATTTTATGGTATAAATTCAGAATCAGATATAATAATATGAATTGATTAATTAATATTCTATGAAAAAATAAAATTAAAAAATAAAACCAAAAAATAATATATATATAATTATAAATATAAATATATATAAATACTTAAAATATATAAATTTTTAGTTTTATATATTTTTAATATATTATATTATATAAATTCATTATATATAAATATATTATATTCTTTATTTATATATGTTTACCTTAAAATAATTAAGGCAATTATTATTTTCTGAATATACTGTTTTAATATATATTAAAACTATAAATTTTAATATAATACTTATAGAAAATTTAATATTTACAAATAAATTATTTAATAATAAAAAACTATAATTATTATTGTAATTTAATAAAATAAAATAATAAGAAAAATAAAAATAAAAATTAGAAAATTAAGTTTTAATCAAATTTTATAATAATATAAATATTTTTTTATTTTCTTTTTAAATAAAATACAAATTAGAATTTAAAATTATTATTTGTATGTATAAACTATTAGTTTATTATTTTATACTTATATCTATACATAATTTAGATTCATTTTACATCACAAATTTCTAAAGGTAATTATCATTCGACAATTTTTTTTTTTTGAATTTGACAAAAAAAGATATTCTAAATCTAAAGTCATATGAAAATACAAAAAATATTGTTTTTACAAAGTATTTATGAATAATGCTATATTTAAATTAGTTAATTAACATAAAATCATAATAATAATTAAGAAAGATATATTCATCAAACGAATAAATCGTAAAATATTTTTTATTTATGGATTACTCTATAATTAATTAAAATGAAAATTAAATGTTCAAAAATGAAAAGAAAAAAAAGAAAACAAAAATTTGTAATTACTAAAATTCATTAAAGCAAACTATACTATTTTTCAACTTAATTATATAAGAAGATTCACTAAATGTTCATAGTGTTAAAAACACATAATATTATTGAAGTCACCAAATTATATATTTAAACATAAAAGAAAAATAAATAAAAAACTAAAAGTCTTTATTATAATTAATATAAAATTTCAACATAAATACAATTAACAAAAATATCTAAATAAATAAATAAAAATTAAAAGAATAAGGAAATAATCCAATAATCAAAATAGTAAAGATATTCAAACAATATATTAATAAATAATATAAAAATTAGGAAAAAAATAGAATTAAAAATTTTTCAATATAAAATGATAAAAAAAATTATAAACCTATAAATATATATTTCTATTTTGTATAAAATAATTAGAATATAATTAAAGAATAAATTAATATTTTAAAAATAACATAGAGATTGCACCAAATTTAATATTTTAAACTTAAATGTGTATATAAATTATAATTTTTTTTATATTTGTAATTCTAATTTAATTATTTTTTAATAAAATTTTATAAATAATTATTTCTGTTAATTTTATATTGATTTATAAATTTAGCAGATAATTATCATTACAAAATCACTTATTTTATTTCAAATACAACTTTTTTATTATAATTAAATCTATTTTTAAAAAAATTATTTAAATTTAAAATAAATTTTACATTTGATTTAAAAAAAAAAATACATTTTCTGTATTTGGAAGTTGATAAAATTTATTAATATAATAAAATGTTTTTGATTTTTCAGGTTCAAGTATTTAATTTATTTTTTAATATTTAAAGTCCATATTATTTACTTCCAAATTCGCATTTTATTATTAATTTCTGACTTATCTTCAATTTTTTAAATATTTCTTATTCTTGTTAAATTTTCTTTTTGATTATTTAATTTTTAGCTTGAAATTTAAAATTGTTCAAAATCAACTTTATTATTTAGAATAAAAAAATGACCTTACAACCCAAACTATATCAAAATTTTTATAATATTTTTAAGTCTTTTAATTATTATATATAAAAATATAAATATAAATTATTGAATTAATATATAAATTAATTATTTTAATCTCAATTATTGTTTAAATAAAATAAATTTTATATTGGTTAGAAAAAATATATAAACTAACCATTATTATATTAATTCTTTAAAAACATATAAAAATTAATAATTAATAATTTTTTTTTGTATTATTAAAAAATATAAATTTCATAAATTGTTTATAAATTTAATATTTTTTAAAAAATTATGAAGTATTTTTTTTACGAGAGTTTTTTCTTTGCAATAATGTATTAATTCATTTTTAATCTTTAAATAAAATTATATATAAATTAATATAAAATAAAAAAATTATAAAATAATGCAATATTTTTAAAATATATACATCACGCAAGGAAATCAGTAACATAATACG